GAAGACTCAACGGGAGCATCCGGAGGGGACGCGCGGGGCACGCGCGGCGCATCCGGAGGGGACGCGCTGGGCACGCGCAGCGCATCCGGAGGGGACACGCGGGGCACGTGCAGCGCATCCGGAGGGGACACGCGGGGCACGTGCGGCGCATCCGGAGGGGACGCTTGGGCTGCTGGATGGGGGAAAGGGAGGGCTGGATGGGAGGCTGCTTCTGCTGTCTTCTCATGTTGCCCCTGCCCCCGGCATGCTTGGCCCCTCTCCCTGGCAGTCAGGCCTGTGGGGGGAGCAAATGGGTCAGGGCCAGACACTCCCTGTGCCAGCTGCTGGGTCCCTGCTCCGGGTAGCATAGCAGCTGCTGGAGAGAGCCTGACTGCAGGGGTGACCACAGCAGACTGCCCCCTACCCAGGCCAAGCTGTTGGGGACAGGGGCTAAGTGAGCTGGTGACGCCCTCTCCCCCCAGCATGCCAGCTAATATGGGGCAGGGAGAGAGCAGGGGCCCGAGGCAGGGGGCAAGGTGGTGGGGGCCTCTGGCCAGAGGAGACATGTGGGGTGGGAGGTCACATGCCCTCCCGTTTCGACTGTACACGAATCATCTGTGAGAGCAGCTAACCAGGCGGGTCCCCGCGGTCCCCGGCCGAGCGCTGGCACACACAGGGGCTGCCCAGGTAATAACAAGGCCTGGCTACGCCACGGTAGGTATTTTACGTTGGGACGAAGCAGACGTCCAGCCACGAGATGGGCACTGATGGGTGTAGCTGCTAATGAGCTTGAAGCGACAGGCTCAGGACGGATGGCAAAGGACCACCCAGCACGGGTAGGAGGAGCCCTACTGAATGCGTGTTAGGCACAGTGGCATTCGCACCCTCTAGGGGTCACAGTGGCACGCTGCCCGGATGCCCCTGGACCCTTCCTGGGCCGTCTCACCTGCTCCGGGGCTGGCGGCAAAGACTGGTGAGAGAATGTAAGTCGTGGGGCTTCGAGTCCAGCTGCTTAGCTACACTGGAGCCTTCCCTAAGGGCGAATGTCTCCCTTGATTCGGGGCACTCTCCCCTCCTAAGTACCTGCAACTCAGTGGCCACTTTGTCAGCAGCTGAGCCCTGCAGACCCTGTCTCACCTGGAAAAGCCAATAATGCCTCCCCACTGGTGCAGAGGACGTACAGCGCCAAGCCCTGGCTGGCTCCTGGCTATGAAGGCAGCACCCGTAAGCGGCAGGCTAAAGCCCAACCCAGTTGAAGAGGAGGCCTCACCTTAGATTCCAGCAGCTCCGGAACAGTGAACATGAACGTTAGGCTAAACGTGAGAAGAGCCGCACTATGGTTCACTATTCTGACAGTCTTCTTCATCGTTTGCCCAACAGAGAGCGCGCCCAGTTTCAACACTTTGCTGGGCAGATCCAAGATGTCGATCTGTGGGCAGGACAAGACCGAGATGGGGAAGGTGATGAGGGACTGGGGAAAGGGAGGGAGGATGGCCATGGGGGATGACTGAGGAAGGGGGAAGGGATTCGCTCTGACCAGGTGACGTCTGGGGCTATAGAGAGGTCTGAGCTCACCTTCATCTCCGTGCCCTTTCCCAGGACCTCGATGGTCTGCTGGGAGAGCCCGTTGATTTCAAAGGGGATGACGTCGTGGTAGGGAATGGCCTCTCGGGGATAGAACGTGATTGGCACCTCCATCTTCCCCCCAGGACTCAGCACGTCCGCCTGGAAGCCCACCTCGAAGTGCGCAGTGCTGGTGTACAAGCAGTCTAAGCTGTGGAAGGGCAGAAAACACCTTCCTGAATGTTTGCCGGGTGACCACTCAGCAGCAGGGAGTGTCCCCGTCCCTGGGCCCACAGCCCCCCGGTGCTCCAACTAGCTCTGCTGGCTGCGCCTACTCAGACAAATTCAGCAACTGAAGCTGGGTCTGCTTGGTGCCAGCAGGGCTGTTCTGACGGACGTAACCCGAAAGGGAAGTAAACAAGAGCAGCTTTAGACCCCCCCGGGGAAAGAAAACGCCCGGCAGGGCTCCCCGGCCGCCAGCACTTCTGCCAGACAGGTCAGTGCATGAAGGCACCCTCTCATCTCACATGAAAATGGGTCAGAGGGTCTAACGGTGTCCCTGCCCGTGTGATGACTGTCTATGGCCATTAGGCGTTGCGGAAGAGGAGTACAGAAAGACTGCCCCCTCTCCCGGGAAGAATGGGCCAGCAGTGAAGGTGCTAAATAGCGACTGGGGAAACATGGGTTCACTTCTCTCCTCTGCAACAGACTTCCTGCGTGACCCTGGGCATGTCTGTCTCAGTTCCCCCATCAGTACAATGGCCATAACAGCTCTGCCCTGGTTCAGTGCTCCCTAGAAGCGGAGAGATTCAGGTGCTGCCCTGTTGATTGGCAGAATGCTCACCGCCAGCAGCACATTTCTACTAGTGGTGCATTTTGCACATGGATGGAAAAACTAGAGGGAACATGGATCCGCATTTTTAGCATTTTTAGCATTCAGCATTTTAAATAAAATGATTTTCTGTAGGAAAATTCTCACGTCATGGAAAAGGGCTGGTTTCTATTAAACTTCCATTGATCTACCCAGACCAGGACGCTCGCCCCAGAACAGCTGATAGCCCAGCGATCAGGGCGCTCCTCTGGGATGCTCAATCTCTGCTCTCTGACTCCACCCAGGGGGTCTAGCTTCCCACTGCTGCCCTACCTAACATCCTTGGCCTCCTTGTTTGTGATGGTGAGGGTGTGTCTGGCAGGGGGCATCCCGGCACAGTAGATGAAGCAGGTTCCGAAGTTGATCCTGGTGCAGGAGAAGTGGATGGTGGGAACCACCACTGAACCCAGAAGCACACAGCAAAACGTCGGTCCATTGCTGATCTGGGGAGAGAAGTGGCCACAGGTGGAAACTCTGCCAGGCAGCTGGAGGGTGTGTGTGACGGGCCATCA